TACCTTTCGTGGGTATTTGTACGGCGCTGTGATTTTCTTTGAATGTTCTTGTAATTCCTTTATTAACTTTTCTGCATTGTGTGTTCTATAATTTTTTTGGAGAACCACAAATGCTTTCACAATCTAAAATAAAATTTACATAAATAAATACTAAAAAATAAAATTGTTTTTTAATCGTGAATGATATGTTAATTTCAACTTCATGTGCCATATCATATCAACATGGTGTTCAATTTCGGCGATGTGTGACAAAGCTTGAAAAAAAACATTACCTCTCCTCTGACTACATCTGGACTGCTCACGACTGCTGATTCAGCAACTGCAGGATGTTGAAATAGAACGTTTTCAACTTCAACTGGACTAATTCGATAGCTGCAAAATAAATGGGTTATAATTAAAATGCAAATGCGTGTAATGGAAGGCTCAATAAAGTCCAACAACAGGCACAACCAAATACCAGTATTGATTACTTCTCCACATATCTCTGACTATTTGATACTAATGCAAAGTGCATTATTGTAGTCATTTCTCCTCAATCGTTACAAACGAAGGTTACCACATGTGGTATATTATAAGTTAACTGGCATACATTGCGATATCCGGTGATTATAAGTGCCTAACGTGACGTCACGGGTTTTTAATTTCGAGCTCTGAATAGACACAGTTTTGTGTCAAGTATGTACGTGGATTACAATTGTGTAGTATTCTGCTCTTATACGCACCCTGAAGATAAAATGACGTCATCGTCACGTGACACAAAACGGATGTAACCTTCGTCGTCTTTGATTCCTCTATCACCAGTAAGATAGTAACCACCACGAAAGATTTTCTCGTTAAGGTGGTCACCGTCCTAGTAGAAAAAAAATGTGTCAATAGTAGCAGACGATATATTGATTCAATATCACGTGACAAGTGACGTCATAGAGCATTGTGTTATGTGATTAATTATTCATGAAGGCGTTCGATTCGGACAAACAAGAGAGTAAATAAAACTAAAATAGCGACAGACAAATTTATTTAATGAAATGGGATTTCCCACAAACCATCACGCCAAAGTAACGCAATAAGAGTTGGAAATATTCATTTTACATCATTCAACGTTGTGTGGTTACGTCAGTTCTAGTTTAGTAGATGGTAATTTGTGTTTTTTTTTAATTAATATTCGATATTTTGAGTAATTCGAGAAATTTTTCGATCATGCACATAGAAAACAACGTACTAAATATCCAGCAAATAACCCTACTGGTCTCTCTGGGTAGACTTTAACTCCAATAATTCCCTCAGTACCATTTGGTTGTTCTACGCCATTTGAATCAACGATTCTGATATCAGCTCCAGGCGCTGTTTTTCCAATCCACCCAAGTCGCTGTTTCACACCGGGGAAGGTTCCAATCAACAATGCCTGGTCATGGAGTCAAATCAAATGTTGTGGGGGTAAAACACTTTCTTTACGCACGTGTCGTAATGGGGACACCTTACATCATCAATATTGTGTTGATTTGTTGTCTATTTGAACGGCATTGTTTACACCTAATGTCGTAATTCCGAGGTGATATCATTGTCGTGTGAATTAAGAGATCGCATTCGTATCAATATGTAACGTTAATGAACTAAATGGGAATGATGACATGTAATGTACGTACTGGTTATTTGTGTGGTAACCGAAGTACCCATTATTATATCTTTTACTGTGTTACTTTCAAAAGCGTTTTGTTGTAGCTTAGGATCGGAAATT